GGCATGTGGTGCTGGGGGATTGAACCGCGGTTCCTGATGCTTTTGCTAAGCTTGTTCTAAGTAGGTGCTTTAGACCACTGAGCCATCTCTCCAGCCCTTTTATTTCTTTTTAATCTTTTATGTATTTGGTACAGGGTCTCACTGGGGAGCTCGGACTCATAGTGATCCTCCTGTCTCAGCCTCGCCAGTGCTGGGATTACAGGCGTGCACCACCATGCCCAGTTTAGATGGCTGGTTCAGCATGCCCGAGGTTTCAGGGCCGGTACAGCATGTGGTACTGGGGATTGGGCCTGCATCCTTGCCCTTGCCAGGCAGGCGCTTAAACAGCTTAGCTATCTCCCCAGCCCAGGGATTCTAAATATAGTGCCTTAGCTGTGAAAAAGTTTCTTTCTCACTGGAAAACCCAAAGGTGACACTTGAGGATGGTCCAGAGTCCCTGGCCAGAGTCTTTAGACACTGAGGCTTCTGCTGCATTGTTGTCCACTGTTACTGGTTAGGAACAGCGCCACAGCTCCCACAGTCCCATGCGGGAAGCATGAGGAAAGAGGAATTAACAAAGGGGACATACTAGTCATAGTTTAGGGATGGTTTGTAGATACTGCCAGCAGCATCTCTGCTTCATTTCCTCTTTGCCAGATACTAAATAGCAGCCCCAGGTGGCAGAGACACGGAGGGATCACTTATCTATTCTTCTACTACACGTGTACCTCTATGTAAAACCCTTTTGCTTGTCAAACCTCCAACACCGTTGTGTTTACAGGCTTGGTGAATTTATGTGTAGCTGTAATGCTTTTTTTTTGCAGTACTGGGGATTGAACTCAGGACCCTGCGCTTGCCAGGCAAGTGCTTATTCTACTGAGCTGTCTTCCCGGCCCCTGTAGTTCTTACATTAACAGCGATAGCCTATCTGCCTTGTAGGAGCCCACACTTGGTTCATTGTCCATTGGTGGAAGAGGGAGGTGTAGATTCTTCCTGGGTCTTTGTTTCATACTCGATTAAGTGAGCATTTTTATACATATTTCTCTAGTACAAGTTTAATAAACGTGGTTTCTGCCATGGGTGATGATGAGATGTACTGAGCAGCAGCGTATTCTGCGCAGAGGCACAGCCTCCACAGCCGTGTCTCCTCGCACACGTGCTGCTTTCTAGGGCAGTGTTCCCAAATTGTGGGTTGTGACCACGAGTGGGTGGTAGAGGTGGTCAGTGATGCCAGTCAGCATCAGCATATGCTCGCTGCAGCGGAGGAGGCGAGAGGCGGGCTCGTGAGGGAAGTGCGGCGGGAAATGTGTTTCACTTGTGAGGCGTGTGGCAGAGTGTTGTGTTTTAATGAAAAATGAAGTTCATACTGTAGGCCAGGGCTTAAAGTTTTATAAAAAAAACATTGGTCTTTCACATACGCATATCCAGAATGAAAATATTTCACTGCTTCCTTGATCAAGCAGGCGTGTAACTTGTTATTACAAATATCTTTGTCTGGTTTAAGTAGTGAAGTAACACAGGCTTTAAAAAGTGAGGGGTAGGATATTCAGTCCCCACACTGCCCGAAGAAGTTGAGAGCTTCTTCCCTTAAATAAGACAGATGGCATATTTTGGTTTTAGTACTGTTTTATTTTGTATTTTTGACACAGGAGCAAGTTTTTATATATTGTAATGGTTATCTCTTCAAGTTTTATTTTGAGAATTTTTGCTAAATTTTTGAGAAAATTTTATACTTAGGGTTTCATCTATATTGGGGATAAAGTTGTTCGTTGTATTCTTATTTTAAAAAATCTTAACTGTAGTTGTGGTTGGAGATCTTTTGCTGTTCTTCGTATTGAGTGTATATTGCCTAAATCCACCTGTGCTTGGAAAATCTTTGAGAAAAGTGGTGTTTTGACCTTAGCAGAGCCCAGGCCGAGATAGACACGCTGCTCTTCCTCCTCTTCTGTATCCCTTGGCCTTCTTTTGGGCTTTGAAATTCAGGTTCCTGTTATAGGAACATTTCTCTACATTTTTATTAGATTGGTAGGATATCTGTTAGTTTACTGAGTGCATTTTATACCTCAATAGCTGTTGCCTTAGAGTAGAACAGACACCGAAGCAACCCTCTGCTCACCCTGGGAAGCTACAGCAGCTGTGGTGTTCGCGGGCCTGGGTCACAGCTCTATTCACTTTTGGCCCCTGGGAATTTCTCTTACAGTTTGCAAGCTCCCTTGTAGTGTGAAGGGTATCTGTTAGCACTTCTGGTGCATTTCTGGGTAGAGTAGGTGAGTCTCCAGATCATCTCCAGCCTTCAGGTGGGAGCACTCGTGAGTAAAGTAGTTTTCAGAACCTCAAGTAAATCATGGGGCTGGCGAGATGGCTCAGTGGTCTAAAGCACCTACATGGAACAAGCTTGGCAAAGCACAGGGACCGCGGTTCGATCCCCAGCACCACATGCCAGCCAGCCCCGCCCCCTGGTGGGCTGAGCTGGCCACACACACACACACACACACACACACACACAAATAAATAAATAAATGTTTAAAAAAAAAATCAAGTAAATCATGGCCGGGAAATATGGTCTCAGGTTTAGGAGAATGAGTTGAACGAGATCAAAACTAATGGTGTAGGTCCAGGGAGATGGCTCATTGGAATAAGCGCTTCCCTGGCAAGCACAAGGGCCTGAGTTCAATCCCCGGTCCTGCCAAAAAAACAAACAAACAAACAAAAAAAAAACCCCAAACAACTAATGGTGTAGATAACTATGTGAATAAGGTGCTTATTTTATGTGTGTGTACTGAACACATGTCAGCCACTGGTCAGCCTGTCTTCATGGGACTTAACGTTCGGTGGAGGGAGATCGAGACAGAGAGCAGGTGTGTGTGTGGTGTGTCATACGGCTAGATGCTGGTGAATTTTGTGTGCCTGTTGGAACTCAGCCTGGTAGCAGTGGGGAATTTGTTGCTTAATGAAATGTGGTAACCTGAAATAAAAATGTGGCTACCAAGCTGGTAGGCTCAATGTTGTTTATAGCTTTTGGAGTTTCTGTTACCGGTGTCCTTCAGGTTCTGGAGTAGCAGTGTAGTATGGAGCATCGTTTCAAAACTGTACCCTGTGTATGCTATATCAAAGGATTTGATGGTCAAATGAGATTGTTTTAGGAATTTACATACATATGAAGGTCCTTGAAGTGCAGCATTCTGTGGTTAAGAAAACTACTTTAGCTCACCATTTTCCAAGTCTGTTTTGGCCATGGAATGTTACACAGAACATGATTTGAAAAGTATTAGTGTAGTGGAGTGTCAGCTCTGCAGTGTTGATGTCATCGCCTGGTTTATATCAGGTAGGAGGAGACGCGCTTGGCCTGTGAGGTAATAACAGAATACCTGCTGTCTAGGAAGGCTTTACTGCTGTTCCGGTACCTCATTGGCAGTGTGAGGGACCCCCCCCCTCCAATTGTTGATGTGTTTGCTTAGCATTTATTGGCAATGCCTTTATTGTGTGACTTTTATCAACAGGAAATTGTGGAGATATAAATTTAGTACGACTGGGTCCAGAAAAATCTATTAATAATGAGGTCCTAAAATTCAGTTTGGACAGCCAAGTGAACCACAGAATGAGTAAGTAGTGAATCTGGAACTCACCTAGTGTGTGTTGTGTGTGTGTTGGAGGAGAGGGGCTTATTTTTGCTTTTTAGATACTGATGGTTGAACCCAGGGCCTTCACACTGAGCCCTGTGCCACTAGTTTTTTGTTTTTTTTTTTTTAATTTAAATTTAAATTTTGAGTTAATTATTGAAACTGTCCTACCTAAAAAAAAAAAAAAAAAGAATCAAAAGGCAGGAGGAAAAATGAAGCAAACAAAATAAAACTCCATACAAAAAATAAATAAACAAAAATAAATTTAAATTTTGAAATGGGTCCTTGCACAAACTATATTTAAACTTGCAGTCTTCCTACCTCTGCCTGTCTGAGTGCTGGGACTGCAAGGGTGTGCCATCGTACCTGCCTCTACTATCGTTTTTTCTGTTTGCTTTTCTATAGCAAAAAAATGACTTGGGCATTAAAGATAGTTTGGAAATCCTAGAAGCACCCTAGGTTTGAGAACTAGTTTTTCTTCTTGTGGTAATTGCGTATGTGTGTATATGTGTTAGAATTAATGTATAATTCTTTATTTTTATTTTTATTAGAAAAAGACTTACCTTCTCATGTTCAGGAGATGCATAGAAGAAAGGAGTTTCTAGATCATCAGCTGGATGAGCTTTCCCGCCAGCGAGCTTTATGCCGAGGTGAACGGGAAAGTCAGGTAGCTAACTATTTCTTTTTTTTTTTCTTTTTCTTTTTTTTTTTTTTGAGAGACAGAGAGAGACAGAGAGATAGAGAGAGAGAGAGTGTGGTGTGTGTGTGTGGCCAGCTCAGCCCACCAGGGGGCGCGGCTGGCTGGCATGTGGTGCTGGGGGATTGAACCGCGGT